CAGAAACTACCACATCTGGTTCAACTAATGAAGAAGTCACATCTGAAGTTTCTTCTGACCCTGAAATTGTAACAACCAGCAAATCTGAAGTTTCTACATCTGATAGCACAATCGCATCAAATGCAACAGAAGCAGTAAGTTCAAATGCAGACTCCACGACTCAAACTAGTACTACTGTTGGTGCCACAAGCACAGTACCAGCAGAAATTACAACCGGAAGAGCTTCCCAGGAGACTGACACAGATAGTACAACAAACAGTGATTCAACTAAAACAACGGCAGCTTCAACATCGAGTAAAGCAGAAACAACCACATCTGGTCCAACTAATGAAGAAGTCACGAGCTCCACATCAGAAAAAATAGCGGAAAGTGATATCACAACAGAAATGCCGACATCAATTGCCGGTGAGGCGACAACTACATTCGACGAGTTTGCCGAGGGTACAGACGATACTACAGGTTCTCCAAGTAGTGATTCACAAGTATTTACAACATCATCGGTCAAAACCAGTGGCTCTACTGACAAATCGGGTCAAGTAAACTCATCAGAGGGAACTGCTGCTACTCCTGATGAGTCGATAACTAGTACAGCTGGCACTAGTACAGATAGCAACGCGACAGTGTCGTTCAGATGTATAGCTCCCGGTAAATTTGCAGACACAAGTGATTGCAGAAAATATCATTTGTGCATCGACTTATTTGACCAATTTATTGATTTGGAAGGAAACTGCCCACCAGGCACCGTTTTCGATTCAAGTAGTTTGCTTTGCACTACTTCCCCAGTGCAATGTCCTGGAGAAACACCACTTTCTTGCACAAGCAGCGGGACTTTTTCACATCCGGAAAAGTGCAACCGCTATTATTCTTGCAGTTGGAACTATATCTTCAATAAATACGACTTGAAGCAGTACCTGTGTGAGCCAAACCAACAGTATGATGTAGATGAACAGAAATGCGTTACTTCGTTGTCGTGCTCTTTCGATAAAGTGGAAGAGTTCCAGTGCAGAGAAGTGGGCAATTTTCCAGTAGAATACAACTGCAAAAACTTTTATAATTGTCAGTTGAGTACAAGCATCACTTTTATAAAAACAGTAAAAACTTGTGGAGATACAGCACTGTTTGATAGAGTCCGAAGAAGGTGTCGTATTATGTGTTTAGTCACGAATTGTCCTTTCAACAATATTGATCTGTTGGAGTAGTGGGTTACGAGTAACATTGTTAATTTTTTAATTGAATTATTGTTATTACTATTATTATTGATGTTTATTCATACTATATATGTAATAAAATGCAATACAATTATTTATTTGTTATTGTATAAGACTTTGTTTATTGAAAACTGGGCTTTCATGGAGTGCCCTTATAGCCGTTTACGCAGTTATGCCAGGTAGCAAACGTGACACGCGGAATGCTATTCCAAAATATCTTTATAGTAGCTTAATTTTGATTCAAACCCAGCTCAATTATAGTCCATCGAAATAATTAGTAAACTTTTCTGTTCGACATGTTACAGCTAACGTTCAAAATGATGTTAATCTGGACATTAACTGAGACAGCGAGAATAATATGTTCCGTTGGTTAATCTCCGAACATTGCGTTAGTTAATTGGTATGTGCTTAAGGATTCCTAGCAGAAAGTGCCACCAATCCGAGCCGAGCATCAATTGTTGTGACTAGTGGTGGGCTAGTCAGGGTCAAGATCCGTCAAGAACACTTCGAATGCTTCTTATGGCTCTCCGCACTCAACGGTGTCAATTTTTTTTTAAAAGAGACTTTGTTACCAACAAAACGGACCTTGAGAGGCCTTTGGAACTAGTAAAACCGAGAAAAGAGATAAGCCGCGTGTTTATATAAACATAGCCAGTCATTCATAGGGTGGAGGGGAAGAAACTCATGGGAGAACCTAATACACCAAAAGTGAAAGGGTATCACCTTTCACAGCTACTCCTTGAAACTGGTGAGTTTTTCGGGTTTGTATGCCGTCGTGGATTAGAATCGTTCTGATGTTTCCTCATTACGAGTGGCTTGAGTCTTGGTCATCTCAACTGTCAAAGGTGCTTTGCTCACAGGGACGTCAGAAAGTTTAATTGATTCGTACAGTACTTGTGGAACGGCAAGAAGAAATTCCAATTCACGACGACCTGAAAGCTCAAACTCACCAGATCCAAACTTACCTATATTTAATATTGCATTGGACACTAGAAGTCTGAAATAAGCAAAGCTTTTCTTCGCGTTGTAATATAATTTTTCAATATAATTTTAGTATACATATTTTGGCTATCAGTGGCGGTGAATTTTTGMCAWCGAGAATCTGGATTTTGGTCTATCCGTCGGATTATGTATTATTATTCGAATGAACCGGAGTTTTACATTTTGCRTCTGGACTTKGTTTTTGGGGTGTTTGAGTTGATAAAAAATTAGATACACGTCGTTATAAATATATTGAATTATTCATTTACATATATGTATCTGGTATTGGTACATATGATTATATATCTGGATGGATCTTATTACAAATAAATCTACCACAAGTCCTCTGCCAAAATTTTAGATATTATTTACAACTATACACACTTTATAAACTTAAAGACTACAATTCAGTAACCATTTTTCTAATTAAAACAATTCCCAGAACTTTATGTTATATCCACTCCCGTTAAATGTTTTCCCGTAAGTCTCAAAAGTGTACTTTAACCAATACATAATTAACAAGTGAATTGGGTTAGTTTGGGTGGTAGAAAATTTGAATTAAATAGGTAAATTGAGTTAACATAACACAATTTTACAATGTATTCCTTTGTATGTACCAGAAGTAGCTCGTAGATACTCATCTATGACCCCGATAGGTGACAGATCTACTTCAAGGACGCGACCCTGCGTATGCGAGCATTAGTTCTCCTAATACCACATAGGGGAATCATTGTCATATCCAGAATCCTTACCCAAGCCATCATTTTTCCTCGCAAAATATCCAAACCCCCGTAACCAACCCGCTAGGAAAGCGTGGCGTGTCCAAATGCCCAAACTTTCTAATATGGAGATGTCCAGTATCAATACGAAATTACCCCAGGTGAGTAGAGCAAACACAATTTCGCACTGAACAATCAGTCAGCCTCACGGATTCTGGAGGAGGCAAATATTCGACGAAAATGAAGACATCTTACTTTTCTACCTTTATATAGCCACATATGATATACGAACTATGAGGACCCAAGAACTCCTTGACGAACTAGAACAGGAGCTTAACAATATCAAATGGGGCATATTTGGCATATGCGAAACGCGCTTGCCAGGAGAGAAATGTACAATTTTGAAATCCGGTGACACTCTATTTCAGATAATCTCCGAGGAAAACAGCCACATAAGAGTAACATTTTTGATGAATGAAATGTTTCAATGCGAAATACCAAAATATCTCAAAGGGTTATACAGGGTGTCCCACCGGGAACCGCCGCGATCGATATGTGGCAAACTATAATTACGAGAAATTTGAGAATCAGTGTGCTGAAATCATTGGGGGCAAGCGATATAAAATATTTTCAATATTTTTGCCGCACTTCCGGTTATGCCGGATGTAGGTATCAACTTACTTATTTTAAATGGAACACCCTATATATTATAACACTTTTAAATTCTACTCCAAATTCTAAGTATATTTCATGTATAACATCATATACCTAAGTGTAACGGTTTTTCACATATCTGAAATTTTATGAAGAAAATGGCAGTTGCAGCCACTCGAATTATTATTTATTTTCTCTATTTTAGAATTTGTGCTGCTTAATTTGAGTAGCAAAACAAAACGGATGGCGGTGGCAAAGGCGGACGTTGACCCGGGACACCTGCTTCTGGATGGGAAGCTGGTGAATTATGTTGATCACTTGGAATAGTTTGCAAAACAGGTATATCATGGAAACCAGTTCTGTGCAATGGAAAACTCTCCATGCGTCTATGAAAAAATATTTGTGGTCCTTGAATTGTGGTGTTACCGTCGAATCCTGAAGATATTTTGGATTGCACACACCTCCAATGAGGATGTGCTCAGCATGATTGACGCTTCTGAAGACCATCAAGTGGAGAAAGACCGAGTACTTTGGTCATATTATGAGAGGTCCAAAAGATCACTTGCTACGACTCATAATACAAGGCAAGGAAGAGGGAAAGAGATGGATTGGTTGAAAGAAACTGTCGTGGCTGCAACATTAGACACTGAACACTGTGGAACACCTCTTCAGAAAGGCAGCAGACAGGGATAGATTCCACCGAATATAATCAACATGATGATAGCCAACGTATGAACGCATGTCCGGCGCTCCAAGAAGAACATTGAAAAAACGTGTTTAGACAGACTAATGTTTGCCCTTGTCCTTTGATAAAGTCCCATGTATTATAGATATTACTTACATGTCGATTCCAATGTCTTCATTCGGTTCGGTTTAGCAAAAACGTCCGGCATTTGATCTGATATATTTTTAATAGCACAAATCAGATACTTTCACTTCATACTAACCCTAATTCACTACTTATTGCATGTAACAATTATTATGTCAGATCTTGACCAAAACGCAAAATTATAATATTTTTGTATATAATTTAAACCATCATTTGCGATCTGACAGAGTCTGCCTAATAAACCATTTAACGGGACTGGATATATTGTCCTTTGCAAGTTAATAAAAACGTTTCACATTAAAAATTATATTTTCCTGCGGAAACGAGCACGTCAATAATCTCAGATATTATCACAATGAACACTGGTGGCTCTAAACTTAAAAAAATATATTGCCTTAATAATAATCGAGTGTGTGCGCAAAAAGTAATTCAACTCCAATCAATTGACTAACACTATTAAACATTGCAAATATGCCGCAATACTGCTAACGCAGTAATATAATGTAAATTACTTACATATACTTAAAATGCATTTATTTTTGCTTAAAAATATGCCTCAATATTACTGGTATGCTGAAATTTGATGAAATGAAAAAAGTTTAGATGCAAATATGCAAAATGTCCCCTTAGCAATTAAATGCTTATTCGATAACCAACAAAATCAGAAACAATTTTTATTGTCATACATTGTTCTCTACTGTTACTCAATAAAAATAAGATTTGAGCGAAATATACATACAATTGCTTTAAGAACTTCAGTCAGCTCACGCAGTTTTAGATTATTTGAAAGTATGACTTAGAAAATGGTAACTAAAAAATGTGCTTCCACAACGTATCAGAATTGACTACCGCAATGCTCGCAATAAATGAACCCTCATTTTGATACCAAAAAAAGTACCGTATAACTTGTCCTTTAAAACACCGTCGAAAAACATTAAGTTTTGTTCAACAGCAATATAATTAAAAATCAATCAATGATAATCATAAGATCAAATAACAGGTTACATAGTTCAATGTAGTTGTAGTAGCAGTAATAAAACATACTGAGTATTTTAAATCAGGACAGTTTAAATGAGCATTCGGAGTCAATCCAATAGCAAAAACATCTACAAACACCTACTTTGAGTATTACGAAATTATTACCGGTCTGAAACATTATCTAACAGTATCAGACACAAAGAAATTAACACTACAATAAAAATAACTTTGCTATAAATGACCACAAAATATTCGTTAAAAACCCAAACCTTATGTCGCTTCATTAGAATGAGGTGCACTGTTTGGGGAAAAACTGTTTCGGCTTAATGTTCTATAGGTTTTCTGAAGTTTGGGAAAACAACACCAATTTTTCACAAGGCAAATAAGACTGAGACTATCATTCGATTCGGTTCTCCTAAACATGCCACTGGACATCTCTTCGCAGTTTATAAATCCTGTGAACTTATCCAATTCACTTTCCGGAAATCCGTCACTGCAAACAAATGAGAAAAATTGAAAATGATCACAACGGTGTACCTTTCTGAAGTCTTACCGATAGTACAGCTTAATTGTTTCATAGGTGTCAGTAATGAGCGAAATGCACAAATTGAGAATCACATAGATATACAAGCAAATGAAGGAGTACAAGTATATCCTGGAAAACCACCACAGCAACTGTGATTTGTTCGACATAATTGAAAAAGTAGCAAACATATCGTCTCCATTAATCAAGGAAAATAAACACTCGGACGTAGTCGAAAGAGTTCGAAACTTTATATGGTATGGACCTAAAATCAGCCAACCACAGAAAGTAAAACCTCCATACATAATCAGGGCGCATAACATAAATCTGGCAATCTGAAAACATGACACTTGAAAACAAAATCAAGCGTTTTTAGGAATATTATGGATACCTTTGGTGCAGCTCTTTGTAAAGTTAATATAACAATATTATATGTTTTAAAGAATCCCAGATATCGCAATATTCCAAACCAAACAAGCATGTTTCCCACTCCCAAAAACATGCTACAAATACTCCATTGATCACTTGTGAATTCTCGTCTTTCAATTTGTTCTTTTATAGATGAACCTGCAAATTATTTATAAAGGGGAGATGATAACATACCTAAAATATGAGATCTTCTACTTACCAATAATAATTAGAATATCATTGATAATTATCGTAATGTACCAGTAATTCAAAAATTTGTTTTTGTCTTCACTACTTAGTGGTCGACCAAATTTCTCGTCAAAGAATTTCATTGTGATCCATTTCAAATGCTGTGCTCGACACACTGTTCTGCAGCACAGCACTAACGAAATAATGCAAGTGATTGTAACTGTATAATTTAACAAACTGCAAAGAAGACTAGAAATTTCGTCATCCGTGATATATGTAATATCACCTAAAAACGTAATATTTGAAAAAAATAATGTTTTCTATTTAAAGACATTTTTACCTTTACATTTCAACCTAAAAGCTTCCGCATTTAAATCGAGCAGTAATTGACCATCATGATCTTCATTGTTAAATGTTATGGCAATATCAAATCTATAACAATTTGGGGCTGTAATCCTGAAAATTGTCCAACATTGAGATTATCCATAAAAATGAAATTGTAATATTCTTCTAATGTTAATGAGTGTCCGAAACGTTTGGGACCGACAGCTGACCACATTTCCGGTTATACCGGAAGTAGGTATCAACTTGCTTATGTTAACTGCAACACCCTATACATTATTACATTTTTGAATTCTACTCCAAATTCTAAATATATGTCATGTATAATATATAGGATATTATATATAACACCTAAGTCTAACCGTTTTTGATAAAGTTGAAATTTTATGTATATGTTGGAGATGGGTAAGACCTCGCCAAGTAAATACTTTTAAGATGTTGGGCTGCATGTGTTTTAGTATAAGTTTATTAATATAAATATTAAGACCATTTTAAGATGAATCGAGATTTTGAAATGCTGTATGCTGTACATCGAGATATTTTGGATGCAGAATTCAATATAACGGGTTTGCTGCCGGCATAGCAAAGTTCGAGTCTGTAGCGAACTCGCAGTTTCCGATCGTCTATGCATACGAGCGTAGGTATCCCCATAGAAAACCTACTGGTGATTAGAGCTACACAATTTCCATTTGATTCGGTTTTAGTTGTCGTTTTTTAAATCTATAGCAAATAAAGTAAACGTGCTTTGTTACTTTGGGGAAAAAAAATCTTGGGCATAGTTTATAAATACCATGAACCAGGTGTGTGCGTGAAACATAACTGACTCCCTCGACAATCAAATTAAGGCGTCTGAAGAATTATCAAAATAATGCACGAGGTTACTAAAAAGTATTTGTTTCGTTTTTGGCTTGACCACCGCGTATAATTTCACCAAAGGATCATCCTAAATAACCTTATCCACTATATCGTATTAAATCAGTAATGCAGAACTCACCTGCTTGCAGCTTTGAAATTAACAGTCTTCAACGAAAACATCAAATTTCCACGCACCAATGCTGAAAAACTAACATTTATGTTGTTCTCCAGCAAAAAATGTCGTGAATTAAGCATCACCCCGTTCTCATACCGGGAAATATTTAAGCACCTTTCAACAATTTCGCTGTTGAAAACGTATGACTCATTAAAGCCAAAAATAGTACCCTGTTTGTATTGATATAGGCACAAAACCATGTCCGTGGCAGTATTATCTTCATTAGCATAGGAATAAGAACCTTAAAAAAAATATAAATGTGAGTCCTTCTGTGGATCAGTTACCAAAACCACTTTTTTCTACCAAGTTAGTTATGCCGGGTCCAAACCGAAAAAAAAACCAACGTAGTGCACGAATTAAATCCAAATGCTAAATGGCGCTAAATCGAGTCAGATAATAATTCAAACCGCTGGGCTGCTTTGCACGAGGTTACGACCAGATGGAAAATAATTAACTAAAACTAGCCGCCGCTGTTGTTCTTATTGCGATAATTATTCATCATAAAACACGAAAAAGCAAAACTAAAAACCCAATCAAAGATGTATGTATGCAATAAAGTGTGTGGTTTAATTCAACTCTTGTATATCGAATATGGCCAAGCGCTTTCGACTGTAAAACACCAAAAGTAGCTATAAGCACCCCTGGGGAGTTACTTGGAAAACTTACTCGTCAAATTATAAGCAAACCCCAAGAGTGCAGAACGAAGCATGCCAACCAGTGTAGGGCGGCCAAAGAAACACAAAAACAAGACCGGAAACGGACCAACATGAAACTGCTAGCATTTAAATTCAAAAAATTATGTTGGCTATAGAAACATGGTCCTTTTTAAATGCCCTCAACAATGCCAGCATAGATTCTAGGTATAGAGCTCTTATAAAAAGTATATATAAACACGTAACAATGCCAGTAAAAATTAACGAAAACACTAAAACAGACAAAATCAAATTATATCGAGGAGTTCGTCAACGGGATGCAATATCGCCAAAGTTATTCACTTTAGAAGAAGAAGAAATTAGAAGAAGGGCAAGAGAGGTAACATCAAGAGTGGCCGAGTTAAAGTGGAGCTGGGTAGGGCATGTTGCACGCCAGAACAGTGAAAGATGGACCATCAGGGTTGTACTTTGGTGACCCAGAGACAACGAGAAGTAGAACCAAGGCGCTGGATAGATGATATCAAGGAAGAAGTAGGTCGAAGCTGGTTCTGGATAGCACAAAACCGACAGAAGTGGAAGAGGCACGGAGAGGCCTATGGCCTATGTCGAAAAGCGGACGGAAGAAGGCTGAAGAAGAAGAAGATCATGGTCAAGCTCATAATTACCAAAACGATAGCCTAAGGTAATAGTTGAGGAAATGTTCCGTCGTGGAAGAAAGTCCAGGAAGATATAAAAATGGCATCTTCTATTTACAGACATGAGCTGAACAAAGAAGACTTTCATAAAACATATATCAACTACATAGATTATAACGTTTAACAAAAATTATAGTTAAAAACCAACAAATGAAATGAACAACAAAGTTAATCAAGTTAATTGAAAATTTAACTGTGATAAGTCCTAAAAATTACGGTATGAAACACAAGGTCGGAAAAAATCTACAAGATTGCCGAAGTGCCTCTTAAATTTGTTCAGAATGAATATGCAGATTTAACGTGTGAGTACAGATGCGGATTCTCCAATAGTACAAGAGTGGCACAGGTAAACGTTTCAAACTATTTTTAGACGTACTGGCGAAACTGGAATGTAACCATGTGCAAGTATCGCGAACAAGGCGTATCGAGATTCAGTTTCAAATTCCACAAACAATAGTTTGGAGAAAGAACTAAATTAATAAAAAACAGAACCCATACAGATATCGATATACAGCTGAAACAAAAACAGAGGCAGTACGAGCAGGAGCTTTCATCACGCCTTCCTACAGAGAACCTGTAAAATGTCGAGTTAGAAGTTAGCAGATAAAATGTAACCAGCATTCATACCGCTAAGAATAAAGTATGTACATTTCAAAAATTATCCAAAATACTTTTAAACTTATTGAAAATAAAAGAACCCTACGTCGTGAATCTACCAAATATAGACCTTAATACAGAGATAGCCCACCATATTCGAAGAGACATAAGAACGTACAACACCCAAACGATCAAGCAGGTGATAGAAGATAACTCGGATATGAAGGTTCTAAAAAATTTGCTGTCTAGGGGTAAAGTTAAGATCTTCAAAATTCAAACGAAAGCGTAATAACACTTAGAGACCAACAAGATATCAAGCACTTTGTAGAGCAATACTATACTAAACTCTATAGTACCACCAAAGCATACCAAATCCTAACACTGAGTCGATTACAATAAGGAACGTGAACTCCGAAGAAAGTCCCGATATTAGTAAAGAAGAAATAATCCTAGCATTGAAACATATGGAAAAGAGAAGAGCGCCTGGCGAAGACAAATAGAATATAACATCCCGTTGCACTTTGCCTTCGTAGACTACAAGAAGGCATTTGACTCCATTGAAGTATGGGCCATTTGGGCATCAATGGAAAATGCTAGAATAGATTAGCGCTACGCCAATCTTGTAAAGTTCATCTATAGAAATGCCACCCTTCAAGTACATACAGGGTGTCCCGTAAGCACATGATCAAAAAAAGGGTACCGCGATATTCTTTGGATCAAAAGAAGACGATCTGACCTAACTTTTATTGACAAGAAATGTCTGGTTCCTCTGCTATTGATGGTCAAAGTTCTTCAAAAAAAATATATTTTTTGAAATATCGGGAGAATGGTACGATGTATTTTGGTGAAACTCGCTGTGAATGTGTTTTTATGTAAGATTCATAGTTTATGAAACAATTGAATTCAGCCGTTTTGGACAAGTGGTGAATTCTTAAGTGTCGTGATACAAAAACTACCAGAACTTTTTATTTGGAATGGAATCAATTCATTTTTTTTGTTGATGAACTAATCATTTATTCACAATTTTGTGCTCTTTGTAAAATCTTCTAGCATTCATAGCTTTAGCGCAAAAAAAATATGTCTGTTTTCTTGCCAGTTAACAATGTTAGACAATAACTGCAAATATTCGCCGCGTAAACGCGTACGCTTTCACGCAATGTCTTTGTCTTTGCAAAACCTTAATACTTTGACCATATCGTTCACTTCTTCATTAGAAAAGGTCATTCAAAACGAATTTGTGAGATTGATTGACAATGATTTTATGCCTCGTATCACGATATTTGCATTTAATATATATCATTGTTAAGTGGCAAGAAAACAGAAATATTTTTTTGCGCAAAAATTATGAACTACACGATTTTACAGAGCACAAAATTGTGATCAAATAATTAGTTCATCAACTAAAAAAAATGAGTTTGATTTTATCCACAAAATAAAAAGTGTTAGTAGTTTTTGTACCACGACCCTCAAGAATTCTCCACTTGTCGAAAACGGATGAACTCGATTGTTTCATCAAAATATGACTCTTACATAAGAACAAATTCACAGCGAGTTTCACTAAAATACATCGTACTATTCTCCCGATATTTAGAAATCTCGAAAAAGATCATCTTTTTGAACAACTTCACCATCAATAGCAGAGGAGCCAGACAGTTTTTTTTAATAAAAGTTAGGTCAGATCGTCTTCTTTTGATGCAAAGAATATCGCAGTATCCTATTTAGTGCTGTGTAGTTCGCGAACGAACTAGTTCAAAAGATCGAATCAGGGAACTGAACTAGACGATCGAATCTTCTAAATTGAATTAGCGAATCAGTAGGAATTAAACAGAACATGGCATTTCATCTCACTAGTGAAGAAGAACGAGACTTGAGAACGAGACCGATGACGCCGATTGAAGTGATTGAACCAATAGCGCTACTCTTTACTTCCAAGCGGTTTCTTTCAGTTGGCATTGCCGACTTTGCAGTTCATAGCTGGTGATGAAAATAGATGATCCTGATTGGTCAACAAAACAAGATGACCAAGATGACTACTCAAAAAATTTCTCACTCGACATGTTTACATAGAAAATCTCAGAGAAGATATAGCCAGTTAAATTATGTAGATCATAAACCCCTCCAATCTCCAATAACACAAAGACAAATATATGGACAATAAATCGCGAGAACGAGCAATAGAACACATGGTATACATCATGTCAATTATAACGTCTTGGAACTATAACTAAAGTTAAATTGACCGTTTATTTATAATATTAAAATTAACCTACTGAACTAAATGAACTAAACGAACTAATATTTCGTACTATTCACTTTGCTGACCTAGATTGAAAGATGGAAATCAGCAAGGTGAACTAAACTTTCCAGGTCTAATCCTTTTGATCACTACTAATAAAATACCTATAGGGAAATGGGTCAGACCGGGTATAGTAGATACTAAATTTTAAATCTAGATCGTTTGAACCTCTATCAAAAACATTAATAGGGTTTGGTCTGGCGTCGAAGTACAACTCGTTTTACTTTAACATTGCCTGTGCATACCGCCCTTAGAGCAAACTTCGTTAACACTGTAACGAAGGATTAACTTGGTTAACAGTGTAGTTAAAGAAATAACTTTTAAGTTTCGTAAACTTACTTTATCACAGTCAACTTACATGTTTTTGTGTATATTTTTCCATTGCAGTTGCTTTTAAAGAACGCTTTAGTTTACAGTATTTTTTTATAAATCATCTCTCATATTAATATGTTAATATCAACCAAAAAATTATTGTCGCATGGCTATAAATACCTAATACCTACTACAAAAACCACCTACCTATAGCTTCTCCCACCCGAACATATCCATCATAGGCATAGTCCAAAGTTTGAAAAAAGTCTTGCTCTTTATAAATGGCTAGGGGCCCAGCTGCAGGTGGATATGAATTCACTTCTCGAGTTGCGTCCCAGTTTTTTAAGAACAAGTGTGAAAACGTAATTTTATTGTCCCAAGTATAATTTACGTGATTGTAACTACTATAAATTTTCATCAATATTAAATGCTTTCATAGAAATAAACATTGAGGATCAAACAAAGTTATATGATCAGTATGAGTTATTTTAGCACCCAAAGGAATAAAAATATAATAGAATTCAGATAACAGTATTTCTGGATTTAAAACCATACTGCAGAGAGGAAAGCTCGACTGCTTGGAACATCCAAATCAGCCGTCATTGAAAACATGTTTCAGATTTTCCTTGCTTTAAATTATCAATTACTTTCGTGTACCATTCTAATAAGTTATTAACTTTGAACTTAGGAAAAATTAAGTGGTGTTATACTTTTGCAATAGTACATTTTTCAGTATTCCGCAAACTATAGCTCCTTTTTGCGATAACTTACCTAGAAGCATATAAGCAAAGCTGCAATGTAACTAAAATTATTTTAACCAATTGCACAACAAATTTAAATGGAAACCGTCGCTTTGCATGCCATTTCTGAATGGGATTCATAAAGAAAAACTGAAGTTTTCTTCGCAGTCTTGCTTCCTCGATGAGCGTTTTGGTCACATTTTCTCCATATCTAAGAGCGGAAAAATATAAATTGACATATTTCGTTATTTCCTATAAACCGTTATTTTTGCCACATGTTTATTTCCAAAGCAAAATATTATTAATTATGATTCGCTTTTCTTCAAAAACAGTTACTAACCACCCAACTGGAACTTTGTTTAAAAAAATGTCCGAGATATTTCAGAATATCACAAATTTATTCTAAATATAATGATAACCGTTCAGTCTATAATTAGACTTGTTCGGTTAATTATATATTGTTACTAGAGACTACTATAAGACTTGTTAGATCTTGTTCGGTTAATTATATATTGAATTATAAATATAAGGGATTGTTGAATTGTAATCGCGAACAATTGATCAGTAATAGTACTTGGGAAACGAATACAAAAGTCATAGTTTATAATAATAATAATAATAACTTTGCCTGAATGTAATCTAGTATATGATATATATATGATATATAGATATTCGAATATTCGAAAACTCGAATATTCGAATATCCGAATATTCGAATATCCGAATATTCGAATATCCGAATACTCGAATACTCGAATAATCAAATACTCGAATACACCAACATTATCAAACTCACAAGGTGCAAATATCTTTATATGCCCTTTGTATACTTTTATAAAATAAACTATTCATAATCTACAAGCATTTAAACAAATACCCATATATTTACAAGCAAATGAAAATTACTTTTTTAAGTTTTTTTTAATTTACTCTCCTGCAAATAAATCTAAAATTACGTATCATAATATACGTACAATATCTCTGTGTTCTGGTGATTTGCGTCATCAACTTTTGCGCCGACAAAGGCACTTTTTTATCCGTTGCGGCTAGTTGCCAAAAATGATGAGATAACGATTTTTCTTCTTGGAAAACGGTGAAAGGGAAACGAACACTCGAATATCTAACAAATACGAATGGAAATACTCGAATATTCGAATACTCGAATATTCGAATACTAGAATATTCGATTATTCGATTATTCGAATATTCGTTAGAAATCCGAGTATTCAAATAATTTTACTGTTCGAATAAACCACTAAACGAATATTCGAATATCAGATTTTTAAAAATTCCGAGTCCTACTTAATACCAACATAGATGTGAGATAAATAAAGTAAAATACTTGGACGACGTAGATACCAATATTAAAGAGGATATCATAAATAGGTATCACACAACTGTTTTATACAGAAATATATCAAACAAAAATAACTCCAAAATAAAATAAAGAACGTCAACTCAGAACTACAACCCGAAATATACGCAGATCGGAAATAAAGAGGGTACTGAAAGAAATAAAAAATAACAAAGTACCTGGAAAAGACGGAATAACGACAGGTGGGAAAACTGTGGCCGATACTATCCATACTCTCCTAAATAAAATACTAAAATAATCCCAAAGAACTGGAATGAATCCATAACCATCATCCTAGATAAGAAAGCTGATAGAACAGACCTAAAAAACTATCGACCTATAACACTCCTTAATGTAGTTTATAAGCTCCTCGCAAAAAACCAACAACAAAATTGGAAGAATATCAATCGAAAGAACAAGCCGGCTTCAGAAAGCGTTTCAGCACGAGCAACCATCTATTAGCAATGAAAATCCTAATAGAAAGAGCCAACGAATATCACATCCCACTATATATGTGTATATTGATAGTGTTAAAAACTGGGCAGTGAAAAGCTTGCTAATTAACCGCAGAATAGACTACAGATACACAGACCTAATAACCAACACATTTAGCGAAGCAACAATTAAAATCCATAAGGAAACAAGATCAATGCCCATAAGAAGAAGAGGTGTTAGACACGGCCACACAATATCATTTAAACTTTTTAACCAGGCCCTAGAGGGTGTTTCTCAAAATTAGACTGGGAAGAAACAGATATAAAAATATGTGGACAATACCAAGATATGCAGATTATATCCCCTTAATAACAGATAACAAAGAAGAACTGACAGAAATTCTGGAAGTAATGGACACAGCAGCCGAAAAATATAGGCAGGAACCAACGCCAACAAAGTGTTGAGACACTGGAAGATTGGCTCCAGGAAGATAGTGGACGACAATGTTCGGGTTCCAGACACAGAGGAACAGGTATCAGAGATAGTATAGTCTTTCAGGGCTAGCTTTCAGCACAACTGATACTTTCACAGGCATGAAATAAATACGGAGGAAAGGCTCCATTTCTACCACATATGTAAGATACCCAAAACACAAGGACACATTAAACCAATGGTTTACTGAACGTCGGTTCGAATTTAGCAGGAGTTAATTAACCGAATACGAAAAGCTGCTCGAGCAAAGTACACTCAACCAATTGATTCCGAAACCTCTTTTCGAAACATTAAAAAAATATAATTCCGTAATAACTTTGCTTATTATTATTCCAAATCAAGTTTATTCCTGGGTTTCAGTCATTTATTGTCTCTATTTATTAATCGAATCCAAGCAATAATATAATATATATGTAATATATAAAATACACCGAAACGTATTTTGATTAATAAATAGAGGCAATAAATGACTGAAACCCAGGAATAAATTTGATTTGGAATTGAGACACAGTCAGGAAAGTATATACTTATTATTATTGCAACACACCGTACATACAAACTTCATTTTTTTTACCAAGTAGGGACTGACAATAAAATTCATTAAAAATATCTATTATCAAAGAAACAGGAAGGCCTCGATTTTTGATTTATTCCTCATGATTGATTAATGGCAACTAAACATTTGCACAATTTTCTTTGAGAAACGAAACTGTTTTCTGAAATCGGCTTTAGTACATTTCTCTAAGGTATTTTCCATATCTCGAATATACCTGAAAATAATACAATTATTATTTGAATTGCATATCACGTTTGTTGATGTTTTCTTTACGTACCTTTGTGGTATGTTCAAATCTAATTCCAAGTCTGAATTATCCCAATTACAACTGTACAATCCATCGAGATCGTTAGCTATATATTTAAAACGAAAATAGTATAAAAACACACGAGAAGTTGAGAACTTTCACTCACAAAATAGCTTTGGCGATCGCTCGGAGATGCCTACACTCATCTCCGACAAATTCCCACCGCATAGTCCAACAACATTAAAATGTGCATGCGTCAGATGCTCAACCAAACCGGTGTGCAACCAAAATTGCCTCCAGCGAAAGTTGGGAGGCCGGCGCATCGCAAAATATCGACTAAACATTCCGGCCTAAGATTCGTCCAAATAATTACTTAGAAAAAAAGTTCCTGTAGCTGAATAAGTAAGGCCTTGCGGACCCATGCCTAAATGGACTTTTAGTATTACAAATACCTGAGGAATAGCCAGGCAAAATATCGGACATTTATTAAAAAGCACTCTGGAAATTTTCAAACCAAAAAACGTTTGTTGTTATGTCCCTGTCATCCCTAAAGGATTGTCGTCATATTTATGAAACACTCTGTATATTAAAACAGTACACGCAACCTTCACAAAATATAGGCGATAAAATATTTAACTTAATAATAAATGTTATTATTTAGTAAAATGTAGCGGTGAACGTGTAGTTTACAGGTAATCATTGAATTTAGCCAACCTTCATCACCATTGGCATTGAACATGAACTCATTTTCGAAGATAGATAAGAAATTATATCTAATGTTAATTAAATGCCTGTTAAAACCGCATTTCATTGTTTTAGATAAAATATGTATATTTAGTTCAAACAGAATTACGGAGTTCGGTGGTTATTTGATTTAAAAAGGTTGAATTCTAAAAATCTTCCGCAAATTAACGAGGAATGGCTAGATAAGTTGTCTGGTTTGAATGACTATAAATCAGACATTTTCTTTTAGCTTTACATCTGTTTTTATTTGGAATAGAATAGAACATACCTCCACAATTTAGAACAAAAAAGTGTCAAAAAGCCTTAAACAATCGAAAATTTCTAAATGTAGGCAATAATTCGACCAAATTTGAAGTTTCAAGACAGCAAAGACCTAAAAGAATCTAATGTTTCCCAATTATGAGTTTGTATACATTTTAAATCAGATGATGGCGCTGTTGTCTCGCCGAAACGATATAAAAAAATTATTTCACACTTTGACTGAAACCCAGGAAGGAAAAGAATATTAAAATAATAATTAATTAATTTTTAAAAACGAACAGTAAATTTATTGAGGAGCATCTAAATATGTTATTAGTAAAATCTAATTTATCTTCTCTGTTTGCTTCACACGGAATTAGGAAATCTTATTAGGATACATATTTACACGAAACTAAATCAATTTGCATTCACTTAGTATCCTCTCCTCAAATCATGTACAAAAAATATATAGTTTTCCTCGAAACGGTTGCTAAGGAAAAGGGTTCATAATCTTATGATCTTGATAATTCCTTATTTTTAACGCTCGGAGTTCCATTTTAGTGCCCTTGCAATCTACAGTCATCAATAGAAGTCAGCAATGCATTTCATCTCCATATATTATCCGATATTATCTAGCTGTGCTCCATACTTCACTTTTTCATCTTATTAATAGAGCGAAAAGGGTAAATATTTACAAAACGCGCAAATGGCGCACGTTCGAGTTGTGTTTCTCGCAGATTTTTAAATATACAAAGCGTACGCCAATGATTATTTAACCATAAAAAATTAGTTTCCAATTATTTATCCATTCAGTTTCAACTGAAGACTAAGCAGTTGAACAAGATATAAGTTAGATTAAAAATATTGACTGCAATGCGCGGGCAACTGGAGTTAAAGAATCAAGTTTAATTGCTCAAGAAACTGAAAATGTATAAAGTAAAATAAAAAATAAAAAATCTGCAACATGTGCTTATGCGAATTGATTTTACATTGTATTTGATCCAGACAGAATGTTAAGACGTATTTTTCACATCAATAGCGCAACAAGTCAAGACAACAATGCATTTTTTGATTCTACACTTTTCTAAACTATTTACGCAGTTGAATAACAAATATTATTTATCAAATTTGGCAGAGTAAGCTTCTATTATAAATATATAAAGCATGCTAAAGAATGTTTTAGATATGATTACAAAAAGCGTTTCAAAGATATTTAAGCGATATGACAACTATTCCTGTTGTCTTCGCTACTAGCGTAATGCAGTATTTATAATATTAAATATCACACAGTTAACAGGGCGATTTTATTGCGAGAAAAAACGAATAATAGTTTACTGAGTGAAAATTTATATTAGTTAGTGATAAATGGAAATATTACCTTGGGGTCTCTTCTTCACTTTCGCAATGACTGTCTCCAGTTGGAGTGCCTATTTCTTCCATTACACCAAAATAACACTTGAAGAAAACTCGTGGTAAATAATGTAAAACAATGAAAGTGGTTCAAAAACATTAAAAATTAGACGCTTTATTTATATAAATCAGCTGATCACGATTGACTCTGACATTTAAGAAATATGGGTAAAACCTTGCGCCCTCGTCGCGATCATAATTTGTCATTGTCCGCTCATGTGTGGGACTGAGATACAGATATGACCGTTTGCGAAAATGTTGAGTGCTGAGATTTCTTGATCAGCTCTGGTTGACTTTAATCAATAACCGCATGGGTGCTTTGGCAGCAGCGCAATTGAGACACAAAATATTAATGCAAAATCTGAGATAATTTAATAATGTATTTCTATTTATGTCATTGTGAAAAAATACCAAAAATTACATTATCGCACTCTGTAATACGCAAACTTGCGATCAACTGGATGTTATAATGGAAATCATCGAATTACTTCTGTAACCGAGATATTGCGAATACCTCAAATTTCAAAATCGAAATAATCATTCAAATTATTTAATCAAATTAAATATCGCTGTCAGCCTGAATTAAATATAGCGGCGTCCTTCTACATTCAAAAATTATCCTAAAAGAAATCATACATGGATTGGGTGTTAATTAGTCAATTGCAATATTGACTCCTCTTTCCAAAATATTTTCATTTATATCAAGTATTGTGCACTATACTTCAAGTATAGTGCAGTTATAGTTACATTTTCGTTATTTATTCCAAGTTATCGTCAAGACCGTAGCAACGGGATTTCAACCAGTCACTAACAGATCAAGGAAGTAAGATTATTTTTATATTTCTTGATCTACTTCTTCTTGAGTGAATGAATACTTTTTTGTACTTAATTAGTAAAAAACCTAAAGGATTATCCTACTTTTCATTCGCAGCGATCAGCATTTTTATTAATTTTGTAATTAAATAGTTTAATTAGGCCAGTTTTAATTGAGACTAAAAGCTGTATTGTTTTAGTACCAAAAATAAAGATTTGCTTGCATCCTTTTGCTGTTATAAACTCAACTTATAATGACTTTGTTTTGATTTCATTTTTATTTATTTAGCACTTTCCCATTTTTTCCGCCAGTTAATTCTTCAACATTGATAGTAAATGTGTATATATTTTTCTGGATTTATTAAAAATGTAAACATTATTTCAGGCATCAAGTAAAATTCGGTCTAGAGCTCTCCGTTAACTATAAATAATTCAAACATGATCGGTCACCCTTTAAATTCAGACACAACACGTTTAATTGGTATTTCCTTTTCCTTTTAGCCCACAGAGCCTTATTGACTCCATCAGCTATCTCGGGAGTTCAATTGTCTTTAGGTTCCTGTAGATCAAAGTGTGTTGAGTGGATTGAGTCGCGTTTTTCAAACTTTTGGTATTAAACCGAAATGAGCGAGCTGGTGATTATTTTGTTGTGGCACTGTATCGAGGAAAAATGATTCAACTCCACTAAAAATTTTCAAAATGTTCCCAATATCCAAAAATTGGTGAGAAATGTTTTCGGTTTGATCTGTTTTTATAGCACCATTTCTAGATTTGTATTCCTTTCTTCTAGAATTGAAAGCTTAGCTCTTTCAATTCAATTGAACTGAAAGAGAAGGAATTGAAATCCGAAAGAGATTATACAGAGTCAAAATTGGCGTCATTCCTCTGGAGGTGCTGTCTGGCGGTATTTTAGTACAGAAAAAATAGTTAAAAAAATTAATTGTGTTAATGTGTTATTAAAAACTGAGAAAGAAAACAAGTTAAGGACTGTGTAATTTCCTTATTATCCACTCTTATCGAGCAGCTTCTCGTATTCGGTTAATCAACTCCTGCTCAATTTGTACCGATGTTCAGTAATCCATTGGTTTAATGTGTCCTTGTGCTGTGTATATTTTACATATGCGGTAGGAATGTGTAGCCCTTCCCCGGTATTTATTTGGTGCTTGGGAAAGTGTCAGTTATTGTGCTCTGAGTACCCCTGGAAGGCTCTGCTGCAATTATGTCCAATACTTTTTCCTTCCAAAAGGGCACATCATTGCCGCATTGACTTTTCGTCAAAAAAGTGTGGAAGATAACTTTTTTAATATCAACAATTTTCGTAATTTGAAGCAAATATCGTAATATTTCGCTTTGAATGTTTAAGTATTCCAATATGCTACCAATTAAACGTGGAGAAATTTCAGAATAATGCTTAATAACAAAGTTGAAATTCATATTTCAACTGTCAATATCTTCTAGATTATCTAAAAAAAATTCAACATTTTTCTCGTACTCTATAAGTGAGTCCCTTTACCCTTTAAAAGGAATAAGCGACTCTACAAGGCAGAAAAATTTGAAATTCTCGTCTTTCTCACACAATTTTGTAGTTTTTCATTTCATCCGTCGTCGTACTGATGAAACTGACTGATCTCCAACCAATAGAAACACTTTTGTATCACCGTATAAACAGATGCATGGGACATGGGCTTTAAAGCAAAATTTATGTGTAACTTTACAAAAAAAACAGTAAAAATAGTTTGTGAAGTTTGGCAAGCAACACATTAAGATATTAGTGATGTTCTGGTGTTAAAAAAAATTAAGTGTTTACTCCATAACACACTGGTTATATTTCAAAACATTTCAAACCTAACTCCTGAAATGAAATATCTTAACACAAATAGTAGGAGCGTGTTGTGGACGTACACTTTGTAAACGTGCAATTCGGCAAGTCATTCTAATCCATTAGAATATCTTCAATCGCATTATCGGCTTCTAGGTGAGCTGGTTGTTGTGCCTAAAACAGAAGTAGCACATCTTACCAACATACCTATTTTATGCCAGTTCTACATAAAAGATTTAACTGAATCAAACGTTACGATTACAATTATACGGAACAATAATTATTACAATAATGAGAAAGCTAATTAGGAAATATCTTAACAGATCATCTGGGGCTTTCAGTTTCAAACGCAGGTGATGGTTCTTTATATGCAGGGTGTCCCAAATTCGACGTCTAGCATTGGAATCTCGTTAACCGTAAGAGGATGAAGTCGGTTAGATTGTCGCACAGTTGCTTATTTGTATGCTCAGCAAATTGGTGTTTTAAACGTTAAGAATTTCCTATTACTTACGTCCGTATTTAAAAAAATAAGTTTATGAAGTGGTAAAAAAAGTGTAAAAAATAATGTGGCAATTCTTTTAAAATGGCGGTAAGCGGTAAAGTAACGATAAAATCAGTTAAGGCCAGAAAAATAAAAATCATTTGAGAAAATTTCGATGTTTTTCAATTATTTCTGGAAGTAGTCGGTAGAACTTTTAAACCAGCCACTTCCAATACTCGCACATCGAATTTGTAACACCTTGTACTAACCAATTATTAATTCTGTGTGAAAATAAAGTGTGTTTACGCAAATTATTTGCTCAATATTTCCTGTTTTGTAAATTTTGTTGTTTTTATAACTTCGAAATGTATACAGGGTGTCCCGAAATTAGGTGGCCAAACTGAAACAGTGAAACCTGCTCTCAAAAATAATATTAATTTTTCAAATGAACATGTATCGAAAAATGCTCCTTAACGGAGCTAAGCCTTCTTGAAGAGGGGCCCACTAGTAGGGTTTTTTGCAAATTATTTCTAAACGGTTGAACGTCAAAACGTTAATTTTTGGAACTGTTCTAATTTTGATATTCTGAATCTTGACCTGAAATTAAAGCTGTCAGAATTTCATCATAGACGTATCATTTGGGGGGGGGGGAGAGGTACAAAAAACGCTCTCATTTTTTTCTGAGACTATAAATCAATCTTTTTTCTACAAATTGTGAAAATCTGAAGTATTTTACGAAGAAAAGGTACTTTTAATTTACTTCGTTATTTTTAGATACATGTTCATTTGAATAATTAATATTATTTTTGAGAGCAGATTTCACTGTTTCAGTTTGGCCACCTAATTTCGGGATACCCTGTATGACCCACAACCTTATGGACATAGAGCAGGGGTATGTAGGGGACCTCAAAACAAGTGGAGTTAACATTTAAGTTTTTTCTCAGGCCCATGGTTAACGAGATACAGGGTGTTAAAGTTTTTAAAAATATTGGTATTTTCTCTTTTGCTCCTACAGTTTATGAGATATTTTGCACACGTTTTTAACGTAGGCCACTGTTTAGAGTCTAACCAGTAGCCTACGTTCAAATTGGAGCAAAATATCTCAAAAACTGTCGGAGTTGTGAAAGTGAAAATACCAATATATGTTTTAAAACTTTGTATCTCCACACCAACACCCTGTATATCCTTAACCATGGGCCTGAGAAAAACTTGTGCTCTGTGTCCATAAGGTTGTGAATCACCCTGTATACCGTGTTATTCAAAATTGGCGTCAACTTGATTACTTTAACCACCATAATGGACAGCTACGCATCTGTACGCAATGATTAAAACGCTATTTCATACACAGGGACTTTAATAAAAGTAAACTAAGAAAAACGATGATCTTACTTGTTCTAATAGTTGTCTGAGTTCCAACTCCAAATCTGTTTCAGGATCAGGCACAGATGGAGCAACGGGTACACCCAGAGCTCTCCTAATGGCGGGTACGGGAGCAACTGCTGCCGGTGTGACTTTTTTCGTTATTTCAGTTAAACCATCAACGCATTGTTCTGCTATTGTGGTCTCTTCTCTTGTTGGACCTGACAGATTGTTCAGCGATAGCGGTGGTGGCTGCGACAATCTGGAAAGCCATAAATAGGATTATTATGATTTAACATTAGGAATTTATTTACGCAGGACTTATTTTCGATAAATTTTGTCAATACGTTTGAGTGTTAACTCTTTTTAGCATTTCTACTTGAAGGACTAAAAGCAGAAACGGTTAAGTGACATTATGTATACTTTGTGGTCAATGTGTTCGAAATGAAACACAAGCTTATTGGAAAAAAAATAGAGAAGCGACTGAGAATAGCAGGAAAGAGGTACTTGCGTAGGCATCAAATAAACTTTAAGCCCGGCACTTATATCGAAGCAGTCCGCTTTTGCTGAAACTATTCGTTTTCGACGAGGTTCCCGTTTATTTACGATGGTTCGTGCGAATTCGTCCAAATAACTTCGAATTTAGTGGAAGAGCCTCAGTACGTTGCATTAAAATGGGATCATTTCCTACGAAGAAACGATGAAAACTAATCCAAAGGACGACCGGTCACAGACTAAACACTATTACATACACACTTTTTTATTAATATTATTTACTAAAACTAGTCAAGCATGACCAACCATCAGTTTTTATCTGTAATCTTAAAATTACGGTAGTTAACTAAGTCAGTCCATTGACTTTCCAAGTTTGAGCCTCACAGAAAATTAACAATATTTACACGCACACCATGCTCTGCCCTTAAAACACTATATCAATTCAAAGGGCTTAGTTCTCTTCAATCTGAGGTATAAATTCTGATCATCTAGCAGCTGGCGGGCTTCTGCGTTCGGATGTAACTGTAGTCTAGCTTGGTGTTTATTTGCATACCGTTTGATTGCCTGTTCAACAGTCAGGATTTCAAGGTCTCTGTGAAGATCATTATTTCTGACAAACCATGGGGCATTGGCTATTTCACGTAATGCCTTATTTTGTACCGTTTGAATCTTTTTTATGTGTGTGCTTTTTGTGCATCCCCATAGCTGAATACCGTAGAGCCATGTAGGTTTAATAATTTGTTTATACATTAAAAGTTTGTTATACAAAGTCATCTTGGAATGCCTGCCAATCAGCCATCTATATTGCGCAATTTTTATTTTCTACTCTTTTCTTTCTTTCTGACATGTTCATTCCATCTTAATTTAGTGTCCAAAGTCATACCAAGGTATTTCGCAGTATTTGCATATGGGACGCCGGTTCATTAATATTTATTACTGCGGGATCCGTCAAATTTTGGTTGGTAAAGTTAACATAGGTCGATTTAGTTTTGTTAAGTTTAATTTTCCATCTGGTGGTCAATTTATAAACAGCGTCGCTCGCTTTCTGTAGTTTATGTGCGGCTGTTACTCGATTTGTGTCAATTGACATTAATCCTATGTCATCCGCATATGTTGCTATTGTAACTTCTTTCGGTTGGGGTATATCACTGGTAAAAAATAAATACAGGACAGGCCCTAGAACGCTCCCTTGTGGCACACCCGCTTGGATTGTCTTCAACTTTGAGTAAGCTCCTTCTTGCTTGATTCTGAATAGTCCATTACTGATATATGATGTAAGAATTTCCACCTATGGTTGGGGTAACATTTTACCTAGTTTGTAGACCAGCCCTTCATGCCATACTTTGTCGAACGCCTGCGATACGTCGAGGAATAGTGCTG